GTAAGAATTGGGTTTTATTCAGAAGTCAGAATTGGCTTTTATTGACCATGTAAGAGGCTGCTTAGAAATTAAGTTTTTTCACAAACACTGTACGCCGTTGCTAAGCAACGACTTTGTAGGAGACGCTCAAGCATTCGAACGTTTTTACTTCTTACTTTGCCACAAACAGAAAATGGACACTTTCAAGATCACATTTGACCGACAGCCGATTTGGTCAGACTCTGAAGATGAGACGACACTAAATTCCCAAACTGTCATCACCACTGAGCAGCTTTTCAGTCGGCAGCTGAGACAGAAGAACAGCTAAACAACCTGGAATCAGCCAGAAATGAACCCAACATCATTCGCCAAACTAAACGGGCTGTAAGATGCTTTACAGACTGGCTGGAACAAAACAACATTAATACTGATCTGGCAAAAACTGACAAAACTGAGCTGAACTTGATATTGCGGCAGTTTTATGGCTCAGTCTGATTTGGCCAGACTCTGAAGATCAGACTACACGGCGAATGGTATTGGGTTCATTTCTGGCTGATTCCAGGTTGTGTTTTTTGTAGATTTAGCAGTATTTAGGCCTGTGCTGGTATCAGAAACCTTGTTTGGGTAGCCAGGTAACACCGAAAAAAGCGTTTTTAGTGCGGTCTCGTTTATGTTAAGTGCAATGAGTGTCTGTGGTGTTAAAGGACCATATCCTGTTTTTATTGTCCTCTTAGGTTCATTTCTCACATTTGTGAGATTTGCCAAATTTATGTGCCAAAAACAGTCATCATTCACTTCTGCATGACCATTTTCAAGCCTCTTTATCACTCACAATCAAACAGGCTGTTATTGCTACTGTATCTTTAAGACTGATATATGTAAATGAGCACTGTTTTGGTTGGCTGTCCTGTTTTGTGCCTCATTCAAAAAAAGCAGTCTGGATTGAAACACTCCTTATAACTCCAGTGTGAGTGGGCGGAGCTAAACTTTGGTAGGCTGAATAGGCAGATATACACACTTAAATTATGGTTCTTCAAGGGTTCTTTTGTAAGGAAAATGGTTCTATATAGAACCATGAACACTCAAAAAAAAAACACCCTTTCAATGATTAAAATGTTCTTTGCAGGATGAAAGCGTTCTTCAGATTGGTGGAGAATGTGCTGTAGATGGTTCCATATAGAACCTTTTTGAAAAGCGTGCCATGTGGCGCCAAAAAGGGTTCTTCTACAGTGTCAAGCTTGTTACTAAAGAAGAACCCATTTCAGTGCTGTATAGAACCCCTTTCGAGGAGGTGCTATATAGAAACATCTACAGCACATTCTCTATCTGAAGAACACTTTCACATTGTTCAGAACCATTTAATCATGCAGAGGGTTCGCTGAGGGTTCATGGTTCTATATAGAACCATTTTCTGTACTAAAGAACCCTTGAAGAACCATTGTATGATTAGTGTGACATCAGAAACACATTGAATTCAGAACAGTTTCTGCAGCTTAGTTTCCATATTTGGACTGTATGGATTGGTGAGTGACTTTTGAAACTTTTATTACTGTTTATTTAAAAAGAAAAACCGGAGAAAATACACTTTTTTGTGATACGAGGTCTTTAATGTAGGAAATCAGATCACCCAACGTTTTTGCATAAAATAAATCAATGTTTTTTTTTGTTTTGTTTTTGTTTGTTTTTTTAGTTTAGTTTTCTGTTGTCTCTGTCTTTTTTTTTTTTTAATAATAAATAAATGAGTGGTAATTGAAATCCTAAAGCGTAGACTGGGCTGTTTCCACTGCAGCTGTTTACCATCACCAGGCGCAGAACTGGTAGTAATGACAGATAAGAGAAACTTGACTACCTGTAATGTGTGTCATTTGCTGGGTGCCTCAGATACTTCTAGAAGAACGCTTTAAAGTACATAAAGAGCTGGTTTCTATGTGGTCAGAGGAAAACAGTTCAAACAAAAAAAATGAAGCTGTATCAGGTTTATAAGACATTCTTTTAGCATAAAGTAACGGCGCTCTAAAAGCATGGGGTCATTAACGTTATAAATACAGGGTGATTCAAAAAGATTCATCCCATTTCAAAATGATTTATTTCACTAAATCATTACAGATCAGTGCAGTGAACTGTAAATGGTTTAAATGAGCATAAAGTTTATTATGTAATTGTACAAGGTCTCAGTCTGAACCTCCTCCAGCTGTACAGACAACATCAACACCATAGTCAAACTCATCCCATACTGGATTGAGCATGTCGGGTGTCGCTGCACTCACGGCTCTTTCAGTGCGATTTCGGAGATCATCCAGTGTTGTGGAACCAACGACGAACGCTCTGAGCTGTTGGAGCTTCACTGCCCACGAAAATCACACTGCACAGTTATGACGGATTCACTCTTATTGAAGTGGAGAACGCAGAACGCTTTCTGCTCAGGGGTCTCATCTCCTCTCAGACTGAAGGGGGAGCCATCTTCCACTGACAGTCTCAAACTCTATGACTCCCTCTTTCAATTGGATTGTGATTGGTTCCTAGAAGCCTCACGGTTGTAAAAGTATGGTGCTTTGAAACTGGATGAACCTTTTTGAATCACCCTGTACTTTATATTAACATTATTTATACTTTATCATGTGTGCTGCGTTCTTAGCCACGGCATTTGGAAGAGCAGGCGTTTAAAGTGCCCTCATAGAAAACTTATAACTCTAATTTTATTTGCTTTTCTGAAATAAAACGGTCTGATGTGCTTAAACATTGTTAAAGTTTGAAAAATGTTCCCTTCACTGCCTGATCCATATAATCCATATGCAAAAAACAAAGCGACCTCTTTGGATGTGTTGTTTAGTGATGCCACAGAAACAAACACACTTACTTATATCCACTGATTCAGCAATTTCAACTGTGGTACAGGACACCAATCAGAACAGAGCTCATTTACATATCAGTCTTAAAGGCACAGAAACAAGAACAGTCTGTTAAACTCTGAGGGATAGAAATAAGATAAGAAATGGTCATATACACATGAATTTTTACTCTTTTTTTAGTATATACACACATTTTGTTCCTCCAGAAATTCCCTCTAAAGCCAGACAGACACTGTGTGAATTTAGAAATCTTGTTCTTTGGTGACTCACATTGTACGTTTGAATCGCCCGTCATGTTCGGCCAAAGCCTGCGATTTATACACTCTCACTGTACAAAAACACTCGGTCCGACTGACATGACGCGACATGGGTGCCCACACTGTACATTAAACACAGCCCCTACAGTCGCTCTGTCTACAATAAAGCAGTGTCATTCAAAACAACACGCTGCGCTTCCGAGTCCTGAACAAAACACTGGCTGAATCTCAAACGGCTCCCTGCTCCCTACATAGTGCACCACATATTAAAATAGTGTCTCCTGCACCCATAAAGTGCATCACATGTCTAATAAACAGCCTTCTGAGATTCAGCCGTGTGTGGACAGCTCCATACTGGACTAACAGGGGACTGTTTTGGTGTAGAAGCCAGAACTTAGTGCACTACATAGGAAGTAGGGGCCGTTTGAGATTCAGCCATTAACAAACTGCTACAGCAGCTTTGCTAACTTGTGCCACACTGTGCTCTGAAGCTGAAGAGCAGGCGGTCCTCACAATTCAACTCAGTCAAACGGAGCAAAGTCGTCATATAGGGACGCTGGTGCCGCAGCGGTGGACTTCTTTGTCTCCGTGTGGGAGCTGTGGTTGTGACTGGGTGTGGTTTTGGGTGCGACTTTGAGAGATCGGTTTGTGAGACTGATCACACTGTGAGGCAAGCGACAAAATGTCTGACGTCAGAAATCCATCCGATCGCCCGACTGCTCGATCTTAGCTCGTTGGGCAGTTAATCAGGCATCGTTTCCCCTCTCACACTGCACAGCAAACGACGGCCGCCGAAGCAGAAATTCGGCCCAGTCATGAAATTCAGTCGGCTCCGACCGAATCGGGCTTAAAACCGGCCTAAAATCGCGCCGCGTACGCCTGGCTTTATGTAATGTTTTTTAACTCTTGGCAGTGACTAAATAAAACGTCCTAGATTTTTAAATGCTACCAAAGTATGAAAGCGATCTGGTTTACTGCTGCTGTTGTATCCTGACTTAAAAACTCAGTTGCTGTGGTGTGTTTTGTTCCAGCTTGTTGGTGGTAATGAGGCTTTCTTGAGCAGTCAGACATCTGCGGTTTTATGAGGGAGATTAATTCATTGTGTTATGACTCATTAGCTATGATGTCTTACCAGACTTTCCATTTAGGTTTAGAAACTCTCAGCCAGACCTGGGAGCTTTTTGGCTTTGACAGGTTTATCTGCTTGTCTCTGCTTGCTAAACGTTTCAGTGAGATAATTATGTGTCATTAAAGTGATGAGAGGTTTGTTGGAATTGCGTTTTTTCACCAAGCATGTTCATAAAAAAGCTCGTGAATTTGAATCAGTCATCAAGTTTATTACGGATATTTTTTTGGTGATGTAGGTTACATTTTTTCCCAAAATACCAGTCCTGGCCACTTATTTTGGACACATTTAGGTGCTTGGTAGTGCTCACCGTCTGCTTGGTGCCTTTTAGGAGCTGAATTCTTCAAAGTCGTAAAGGTGTCGGGTTCAGTGTAGAATGCAGAAAATCCTGTTCAGGTGAAAAGTTTTTGGCGTGGTGTTTTTAAAGTGGGCGTGTGTGAGATTCGTGTTACTGTAAAGGTAATAAGAACCTGTTTATTACCCGGTTATAACCTTTAGTACGTGCTAGTGTTTGTGCACAGGCTGTGATGTTTAGCGGTGAGGAAACCGTGTGCTGACATGTGTGCTGATCACTTCAGAGCTCGATCAGAGGGCTAAAGATTCACTTGTTTCTCCTCTCACACTATCATTCGCACCGTCAAAATTTCTTCTGAATGTTAATTTCTTTAATTCACAAACTCTGTTTTGCTTCAATAAAAAGATTAAAGTAAGATTATCGAAGTGTGAACAACATTAGATAAAGCAGTTTTCTTTTGGAGGAATAATTTGCAGTCAGAAGTAAAATATCGC